TCGCTGATAAGTGCCAAGTGCTGGCTGAAGCCCGGGGGGCAGCTCTTGGCATGGGGGTCCTCAGCGGTGCCCTGGTTCTGCCCCACCAACGGGTTCCCTGCCTGGCAACTGAAGAAGCCCCCAAAGGGCACCGCATACTGCACCCCCGCCTCGTAATCTTGGCTCACGCACACCCTGAGCTCATCAAATAGCTTCAGTGGGAAGAACCTTGAAGGGCAGGACTGGGCTCCGGTGATGGGATTGACGCCGTGGGCGCTGAACAGGCCCCCAAAGAGGTATCCGGAGCTCGGGGCCACTGGCCCACTTGCAGCACACCAGTAGGCACTGAATTGCACCCGGGAGAGCCAGAAGACATCCTGGCACTCATGATGGCAGAAGATGCCCAAGATGCACTTGTTGTGGCATTCCAGATGGCTGTGGCCTTCCTCCCGCTCCTGCATGCCCAGCAGCACCGGAGTGTAAGTGGTGGGACAGGAGAAAGCCCCAGTGAGGGGGTTCCTCTGCTCCAGCCCCCGGCACAGCACACTGGTGTCAGGACCAGCCAGCCCCACACACTCCTGGAAGACTCCCCCGAAGGTGAAGTTGGCCATGGCACCCTTACAGGAGCCATCATCAGCATTGGCATGGAAGTTGAAGTTGGGCGAGGTGGTGTCGGTGCAGCCCAGATAGGTGTTGAAGGTGTAGTAGCGGCGGATAGCCATCTCCACTCGCCTGGCCAGCTTCTTCACCGTTGGGGTGGGCATCTCTGGCAGGGTGCTGGGTTTGATGAAGAAGTACAGGGGCAGCCCTGAGCGGTCGAGAGCCACCAGCTGGTTTCTGATCCCCTCCTGTCAGGTCTTGAGGGTGATGCCTGGATAAAAGGGGGTCCCACCAATGCTCTCTACCCTGGAGTTGGTGCGGTTCCCCAGATACTGCCTGGTGAAGCCAGAGCCGATGTCCAGGGACTCCTTGTTTTTCACACTGATGATGCTGTGGAAGGCCACGCCGGCCGAGGCGGTGACAGCACTCCGTGTAGCCCAGCTGTCCTTCAGGAAGGTTGCCTTGATCTGATCCTCCTGCACCAAGCTGGCTCCGGCGTCCACTGAGGTGACGGTGTGGGTGCCGTAGTTAAGCACCAGCACCTCGGCCAGAAAATCAGCCATCCGTGTCTGGTTGTTCTCCAGGTGGCTGCCGATCGTCAGCAGCTGCTTCTTGAAGCCCTTGTCTAGGACCGCCCCTGGGTCGATCTTGGCAGTGTAAACCAGGTTCCTGACTTGCACTCGGGTGGTGACAGCACGGTCTTTCACTTGGTGGGTCTTGGTCCGGTGGAAGTCATAGGAGAACTTGCCATTGATGGAAGAGAAGAGGGACAGCTCCAGGTTGATGGAGGCAGAGGTGATGCTTTGGTAATCTTTCCAGGACTCTATGATCTCGGAGTTGATGTCCAGGTTGCTCTGCTTGCGAGGGATAGTGAAGATCTCATCTGGGATGATATAAGAGCCGTCTTCCGTGGTCTTGCACAGTGAGTAGCCCAGGTTGATGACTCTGCCCATGTCCAAATTCCTGAGGTTATCCCAGCCACCCCCCGGCAGGACTTCCAGACTTGGGACCTTCAGAGCCTTCTTGCACTCCAAAAACCCCGCAGAGGAGGACAGCTCCTGGGGCTGCGCAGCCCCTCTTACCCAAGCCACCGCCCCCCAGGCGAGCAGGACCCCTGTCAGCACCCAGCCCATGGCAGAGCTGGCGCAGGGCCCTCACCAGACGTCCGAGCAGGGAGACAGGAGCTGGGGAAATGAGCGGGCTGGGGGTGCAGCTGCTGGGTGGTTCCTCTCTTTGGGGGTTGAATTTACAAAAGGGAAAGGAGAAGTGAGAATTGATGAACGTGAGAAATGACCGAGCGGAACTGAGACAAGCAGGTAGGGAGCAGAAAGTAGAGGTGTCTGGAGCTCGTTGCCTCCCTGTTGCGAAAGCTGCCTCTCCCCTGTAAGAGTCAGTTAGAAAATCAGCTTGT